CACCATGTCTAAGTCCCTTCTTGATCCTACTTCGTCGTTTCTTTCTACTGGACACAGGAGGTCCCAGATCCCACAAAGTATTTTGTCACTCGGTGGAGCACAGACCCATGGATCCAGATGGCATACAGTTTTGTGAAGACAGGTGGCAGTGGAGAGGCCTACGATATCATTGCCGAGGAAATTCAAGGAACCATCTTTTTTGCCGGGGAGGTATGGATCTTGATTCCAAACCCAATTACTTGTATTTGGATTTCTTTCTTTTAACTAAAATATCTGCAGAGTTCAAAACCCAACCCAAATACTGTTGAAAGGTTTGGACCACAGACCGCAGAGGCCTTCTCAGCGTCGTCTTCTTACTCCCAGAGGCAGCCATTGTTAACCTTCCAGCTATTGCTTCTGGACTTCCCTTCCGATTTTAAAAGTGTTTTTATTGCCATGTCTCTTTTTTGTTTTCGGAGACAGGGCCTTGCTCTGTGGTCCCGACTGGAGTGCAGTGGTGCAGTGCTAGCTCACTGTACCCTCAAACTCCCAGGCTTAGGTGATCCTTCCACCTCAGCATCCCAAGTAGCTGGGACTGCAGGCATGTGCCACCAAGCCTAGTTAACTGTTTTTTTTTCTCTTTTTTGTAGAGATGGGGTCCATTGTGTTGCCTAGTCTGGCCTCAAACCCCTGTCCTTAAGCAGACATCCCACCTCAGCCTCACAGTGTTGGGATTACAGGTGTGAGCCTCCATGCCTGGCCTCTGATGCCATCTTCCGAGTTAACATTAGATATTATTGACTGCCTTCTTACTGGGTTAAAGACTTAGCCCCTTTAGTCTCTGCACCAATTGCTCAACATGGTTATTTCACACTTAGTGTTTTTGTCTACAAAACAACATCAGCTGGGTGGGTGCATTGGCTCACTCCTATAATCCCAGCACTTTGGTAGGCAGAGGCGGGCAGATCACCTGAGGCCAGGAGTTTGAGACCATCCTGGCCAACATGGTGAAACCCTGGGGATTTACTCTAAAAATACAAAAATTAGTCCGGTGTGGTGGTGCATGCCTGTAGTCCCAGCTACTCAGGAGGCTGAGGCAGGAGAATCACTTGAACCTTGGAGGTGGAGGTTGCAGTGAACTAAGATGCACTCCAGCCTGGGTGACAGAGTGAGATTCCATCTGAAAACCAGATGGCTTTGATTACTCCTTGACCTGTGAAGACCTTACTCTGTGGGACGGAGATAAAGGTTGCATGCCAAACAACAAATACCAGTTTCTGAGAGAGGGCTGTTTCAGGATACTGTGCCTTAGGGTCATAAGCATGGTTTACATAGCTTCTTGCTTTCCTTTGCTTCTTTGATGCAAATACTACCTTTTTGTTTCTTTGTGCGATGGAGTCTTGCTGTTGCCTAGGCTGGAGTGCAGTGGCACAGTCTCAGCTCACTGCAACCTCTGCCCCGGGTTCAATTTTCTTGCCTCACCCTCCTGAGGAGCTGGGATTACAGGTGTGTGCCACCACACCCAGCTAATTTTTTTTTTTAGTAGAGATGGCATTTCACCATGTTGGTCAGACTGGTCTCCAACTCCTGACCTTGTGATCTGCCCACCTCTGCCTTCCAAAGTGCTGGGATTACAGGTGTAAGCCACCACACCTGGACTACCTCTTCTAAAAACCTGTTTCTGAGGCGTCCATCCTTCACTGCCACTTTCTCCCACAGCTAGTCACTGTATTCCTACTGACTTAATCAGTCCCCCGTTCATTGAAGTCTTTGGCCCCTGGATGTTTTCCCTTCCAGCCAGCCATCAGTTTACGTGACTACATTTAACATCACTTCTCCATTTCTTATCCTTCATTTTCTGTGGTCTGTTCAGCTCCTCTTTAGCTACCCCTTTTCTCAGCCACATTTCAGACCTTGTCAGAACTACTTATCACTAATTCTGGCCGCCTCCTATCCTGTGCTCCCCTATTCTGGTTTGCTTAGTCTGTTCCCACCACAGCCATTCCTTGAGTGAGGTTCTCCTGTCACTGTTTGACTTCCTCCCATTCCAACAGCCCTCACTCACATTTTATCTTCTTCTTATTGAACTTACAGTCCCTGGTCTGTCCTTCGAGTAACTTAACTCTCTACCCACTTTTTCTGCCCATCTAGCAAAACTCCATCTGTGGCTTGGCTGAATTGGCAATCATTTTTGTACTTGTTTGCCTGTGACTGTACCAGCTACATTACTTGTCTGATGGGAGGGACTAAGGTTCTTAACTGTAGTACCTGTCACATATAGATACTTAGTACTTCAATGAGTGCTGTGTAGTACTTCAAGATAGCACACGAGCGAATCTGACAATGCACTGCAAGATAACCAAGAAAGTTCCAATGTTATGATGTGTGAGTAGTGTGAATATGCGCACACAGGAGTGGCACAGATCTTCATTTTAGACCGGACAAGGTCTAAGCTTGTTTTACCTTTTGATATCAACTCAGTTCTTTATGCATGATCTCAAATTATGTAATTATGTTTTACAGGCAACAAACAGGCATTTCCCACAAACTGTTACAGGGGCATATTTGAGTGGTGTTCGAGAAGCGAGCAAGATTGCAGCATTTTAAGAATTTGGTGGACCCAGCTTTCTTCTGTACCCCAGATGGGAAAATTGGAATGACACGTTAAACCTCAGTTTTATAAGAGGGGGAAAAAAACCCCTCTCTACGCAGCAAAACTGAAACGTTTCTAAGGTGATATGAGGTAAATCTATTATTTCATCACTCTGAAAGCACTGATCCCAAAAATCCTTATAAGCACTTATATTTAATTGCATTTTCCATAGGTTCAACTACTGCTCAAAGTCTGGATTTCAGAATAAGGCAGAATATAAGCTTCAATTGAAGCCATGGGTATGATTGTTCCATGGTTGGAAGTTCCCTTTAGATTTCACATTTTGTATGGATGATCAATTTTCATACATTGAGAAACCAAGTCAATCAAGCAGGAATCATTTTAAAAACTAGATAAAGCCATGTTTTTCGTCTGTGACAATTTGTCAATATCTTTACCAATGAGCCTTAATATTTTTTTATATAGCTCCAACATTGGACTTTTACTTAAAATTTAGATAGAAGTTTTTTTGGATACAGCACAAACTCCAGATGACAGTAAAATGAAGCCTCTAGGTATTTCTTATTGTACGTATTTTCTGCCATTGGTTTTTCAAAAGAAGTTTAAATTCAAGTATCTTTTCTGATAAAACGTTTTGGATTTACGCACTCATTGGTAAAACAGGAAAGTTTCCAGATAGGTATTGCATCATTGAGAGTGGAGCACAGTTAGTGTGGGCTTTACACTGTAGACACAGAATGTCTCTTTCTTAAAACCAAATTTGGGTGATAGAACACTTTAAATATCCTCATTTTTGGCAACCACTAGGCAAAAAACTTGTCAGAATAATTTAATCAAGGCCCCTCTCCACTTCTTTGATTTACAAGAACTGACTCAATTGCTAGGAATATTTTTGCAGACTTTTCTTTACAGTATTCCATAGGCAGGTCCACTGGAAAACTGCAGAAAAATGTGAGCTCTCCTGGTAAATACTACACATTTTATAAGCCATATTTTAAAGGCCTAAGAACATGGCAAGTACTTTTTTCTTTTTTTAAAACTCTTATGGCAGAAAACCATTTACTGATCTCATTGTAAAATAAACACGGGTTTCAGGGTCTTCAGGATGCCGATTTTGCCAAAAACTTCAGTTTACAGGTTAGAAATAAGCTTTTGTTTTCAAATCGTTAAACAATTCTTTAATTATATTGGTGTGCTAAAAAAAAAAGTGGGGAGGACTAAAGATGACTTTAAGGAGACTTTTCAAAATACTATTTAAAAATTTTAAAAGGTCAGTTTATAACGAATACCTAAGACAAATAATGTACAGTGAAACTTTGGCATTTAAGATACCATGCCTCGCGCCCTTCCCCCCCCACCAAAGTATGGTCCAAAAAAAGCCAACAGCTGTATATCTACGTTAACCCAAGACAACCCTGATATTTTGGTTACTTGTTGAGACTCATTGGTACTGACTGCCAAGTCTTCTGTTTTAAAGTATTGTGTATTAAAACGTTTAGACAGCATGTGTTTTAAAGCGATAAATGCAAAATGTCAAGTTTGAAATGGCTTCAGTAAATTATTACTTTAGTTTCTGGGCACTTTGAACTGTGCTACAAGTAGGGGGAAAACCTACTTAAAGTATGGCAAATGTGTGTTTTACATTTCTTATCAAGTGACATACTCATTTGACTTTCTGTTTAAGGAGCCATGGTACTTTTTTCTTGAGTTACTTGGATGTTTTTTCAGTGCCATCTGAAGATTTTGTAATTGAGTAGCAGTATATACACAAATTTCCAGTGTTTTAACTACAGTTCATGAACAGCTGGTGTAAAACTACTTAATAAAAAACTAGGCTTTCAAATGCAGTGTGTACTGTAGTGGTGACCCATCCGTTAATAAGTGTGCTCAAGAACTTTCGTTAAGAATCACTCGACTTCCTCACTTCCATACTCTCTGCATCACCACTTATCTGTATAGTAAACGGTCATAAAGTATTAACCTTAACACATAGTTCTGTGAAGTCACGCCAAGAAAATGGTCCGTTATCGCAAAAGAGTACTCCAAATTGTACAGGTTATAGGGCTGAATCCATTTCAAAATCCCTGTTCTGAATTATTCACCATAGGGAAGGAAATGCTCTATAAACCTATAAGACAACAAATCCAAGACACTTAAACCACCAGTGATTTATTTTTATTGACAAGGTTTATAAGAACAACTATTTAAAATCAAAGGCCAATTATTAGGTCTCATTTAGTTGCTTATTTCATTCATTCCCTGGTGTCTGAATAACTGTCAAGAAACTAGTCGAACCTGTGAAAATACCTGTTAACATTTAACATTTTTATATATTTCTGTTCTATGATGCAGGTATTTTTAAACAATTATTTGGTACATCAAATATCTCATTCTGTCATAAGTAGCATGTTTTAAAATTCAGATTTAATAAACTGATTTAAGACACCAAATTTGAAAGACAAAGTCAGTGTCATTCAGGAGTGGTCCATTATATTGATAATCTAGAATCCTGATTAGCCAAACTTTAAAAGCCAAGAGCCCCAACTCCAGAAACACACTAACGTCTTTGATGTAGAAGTACATGATCATGTTTGAAACACCCTTTGTAAGAGATATCCACCACTGCCTGCAACATTATATTCTAGCATTATTATCTGGTACTTTATTCCTAATTATGAAGGTGGCTAGGATTCCAGTAAATATCAGCATTTTATATGGGCAAAAGCAGTTAATAAAAATTGGTTCATTTAAGCCAAATGTGCTTGTACATAACCCCACCATTTCCCAAAGTTTTTGAAGCTTTGATGTGTTGATTTTTGGTCTGTCCTTAATATAAAATGTACTTACAGACACTTTTACAGAGTTAATACTAAAGTTACAAATTGATGACACTTGGGAGGCAAAGCAGGAGAACTGTCTATTCCTTCAGTGTTCCCATCACTGAATTGACTTTCACTGCTCCATCATACTGTCTAGCTGAACACTGACGTTCCATAGTCTACCGTAGTCTACAACTCTAAGGATACCTACCTATGTGAGTTTAAAAAGTGATCTGCACAAAAGAAATAAAAAAACTATATACAACAAATTGGTTTTTAAAAATACAAAAATAACATCTGTCACTTTTGTCATGCTGACAATTTGACATATATACACATGCAAGAGAAAACTTCCAATTCAGTCATCTGGACAACTGTTGCTTGTATATTTTTAATATGATGAACACACTGCCATTGAATTTTCACATGACGATGTGTATTCAAAATATTTCATATACTAAATACTGCAGTATCTGTGTGTATAAATGCAGTATCTGTGTGTATAAATGCCAGTCATAATAGTTTTTGTTCTACTTGATTTAAAAGTATGTCTTAAGCAAGCTAATGTTAAGTGCACTAAAAACCACAACAGTTCAAGAATCTATGATGACCTTATATAAAGAAATCCAAAATTTACAAAATACACCTATAAAAGCAAGTAATAATTAATGCCATGCAAGATTTCAAACTAAAAATGGCATAGAAATGCAATTTAAAACAGCAAACTCAAATTCACATCAACACTCAAGATAAAAAGGTCAGCAGTAAGTTCTACTAACATTGCTTAACAAGATTTAGAAAAGGAAATACATTCTCTTTGCTGGTATAATGGTATAAATCCGATCTTCAAATCTATGAGAACGAGTCATCTTCTCTGTCCTCTTACCTCAAGAAATTAGCTATAATGAAAGAAACATTTTGCCATAAATCATAAGCCTATATTCCATTTTTCCATATCTATTTTACTATCTTGACCTGCAAAAATCACTTGGGATGAACACAGAATTGTAGCTACCTGCTGATCTTCCTCTCACCTTTGCCTGGTAGAGAGGAACTTGTCCTCAAGTATTTGTGAGAGCAACTTTGAGATGCCCAGCTACCCATGTACCATGAGTCCACATCTTCATCTGAGTTCATGTCTTGTAACTAATTGTTCAAACTTTAATTTTAAGCTTTAAAGTAGGAATGAGAAGAAATATATTTCCCTATGTATTACGAAGAAATGTGAGGATCAAATGTGATATTTAATGACATAAATATTTTGAAAAATACGGAGTATTTTACGTAATGACTTTTGCCTTATATTTCTAAAGTAAACTTGAAAAAGATGGAAATATTTACCTCTTTTACAGTTGTTTTTATGAAATCTTTTCTTTCAGTTAAATCATAAGCAGGATAATTTTCATAGACCTATGCATAGTGAAAAGGAAAAACAATGTTAAAAGCAGACTTTTAAATCCAGTAATATTCTTTGTCTTAGAATTTAAAAGCAAGGAATCTGCTATGTATAAATAGCTACAACTATTCCAACAGTCCTCTGGTTCACCCATATAGAATTCTACTGCAAATGAGTATTTTAATAATACTGTATATGATGCGGAAAACTAGTGTGCAAACATTCTCGATGCTTTCAGGCTGAGAGTTTGGGATGAATTAATAAAGCCAGGTGCGGTGGTTCACGAATGTAATCCAAACACTCTGGGAAACCTACGTGGGAAGATCACTTGAGCCCAGGAATTCAAAACCAGCCTGGGCAATTGTTGAGACCCCATCTCTACGCCAGGCATGGTGATGCATGCTTGTAGTCCCAGCTACTCGGCAGGCTGAGGCAGGAGGATGGCTTGGGCCCAGGAAGTTGACGTTGCAGTGGGCTGTGTTGGTGGCACTGCATTCCAGCTTGGACCACAAAATGAGACCTTGTCTCAAAAACAAACCCAACAAATAAGGGTAAAGAAAACATCTAGATAGATCTAGATAGATATTAGATAAGTGAACTAAGCTGTTTGTGTTGGCAAGTCATCTGCCACTTGTCTTTTAGAGAACGTTGCTTTCTTCTCCAACCCTTGTTATCATCCGACACTCTACCTACAATTCCACAACCTGAAATGCAATGAACCGCATCCTCTACTCCACTGCTCAATCCCTCTTCCTAAAGTTAAAACGTAAGACCCAGGTGGTCTCAAGAGTCCACTACTCCTAAAATTTGACTCTAAATTTCTCCCTTTTGTCAACTTTTTCAGTCCTATTATACTTGCTGCTTGACTTCAAGTCCTGACTTGATGTCAAATTGACTCGATAAGCTCAGTCTGTAAGAACCTGCAAGCTTTACTTCTACTGCACAGCTCAGGGTCAGCGACTTTTTCTGTAAAGGGCTAGATGGTACAAATAGTTTCAACTCTGCCAGTCAGTCTCTGTCACAACTACTCAACTCACAACTACTCAACCATGCGCTGTAGTGGCAATGCAGCCACAGACAATCGTTAATAGATGTGGCTATGAATGTTAAATCAACAGATGTGGCTATGTAATAAAATTCTGCTTACAAAACCAGGTGACAGAATAGATTTGGCACACAGGCTGTAGTTTGCTACTCCTCCAAAATACGGCTGATCATTTAAATTACTCTTAATTGTTTGCCCTGTTCTTTTCCTGCAAAACCCCAATCCTGAATTGGTCTAACTACTCATTTTTCTATGCTTAAGCTCAGACTACAGATTGCTGTGGGAAAGCAGCTTTGAAGAGACTGGTCCCATTTTCAGTTCATGGCATCAATTCATCTCCAAAGGCTCCTCCCGAGATGACCCATCCCCAGAGTCAAGCTCTCCTTTCATTCTCACCAATGGCAGTTTCATCTCCTTACTCAAGTGTCTCACACTCCTGCTGTCAGCCAAAGCCATTATTAGAAATCCTTCCATTTTCTGACAGCTCTTTCCCCTCCAGTTGTATCTGGATTCATCAATGGTTCTTAATTTTCTTTGCCTCCACAGGCAAATCTCCTGTAACTTCTCCTTTCCCACCAAAATGCTTTCTCCCCTACTCCATTTACCTGTTTTCCTTACAAAGAAGGTTGCTTGAAACAGATGTACTTTGTTCATCGTCCTCACTATTCATGAATAATCTTGCTTTTACCACCTTATGTCATCATCGTCTCCTAACTGCAGACTCCAAAAAAGGTCAGGTCCTTCTCACCTGACCCCTCCATGCTGTCATTAATCCCTTTTTTTACATGAAGGTATTCACAAAAATCCTTTTAATAGACAGAGGTAATTTCTCCTTGACTTCCTCTCCTCTCCACCTTATCCTTCTCTCCCTTCAGAAGATCAGTTTTGGTGTATAATCTTCCAGAACTTTATACAAACACATGTGTATATATATAAATGGCAAAAGGGTTTTTCGGTATTTACATATATGGAATAATCCATCTGTATGCTTTAAAAATTTAACAATACCTGGTTTTTCCAAGTTCTTTTGAACTAATACATAGTATTCCAAAACATGGATGTAGCATAGCTTAAGCATTTCCTACCGAACATTTACCTTGTTTCTAATTTTTCAGCGCTGAACATTACTATAATGGTTTTGGTGAAGATGTTACTGTATAGTTAGGATAGAGACCTAGAAATGGAACTGCTGGTTAAAGGGCATTGCAATTCAAAGATCCTACCTACTGTCCTCCAAAGAAGCAGTTACAACTTAAAGCATGAGAACATCTGTTTCCCTAATTATCCTGGGCAACAAGGAAAACTGCCAATCTTCCTAATTTTTTGTCAGTTTAACAAACAAAACTATTTCCTTTTAATTCCTATCTCCCTATTTAGTAGGGAAAGTTGAGTGTTTTATAAGTTTTTTTTTGGTATTCTTTCTGTGAATTGCCCCTCTGTATCTATTGCCCATTGTCTCACTGTCCCATAAGCTAGTCACCCTTTTCTCTTTTTTTTGAGATGGAGTCTTGCTCTGTCAGGCTGGAGTGCAGTGGCCCGATCTCAGCTCACTGCAACTTCCCTCTCCCGGGTTCAAGCAATTTCCCTGCCTCAGCCTCCTGAGTAGTTGGGACTCCAGGCACCTGCTACCATGCCCAGCTAATTTTTTTGTATTAGAGACGGGGGTGGTCGTCTTAAATCTCCTGACCTCCTGATCCACCTGCCTCAGCCCCCAAAGTGCTGGGATTATAGACCTGGGCTACCGCACCTGGCCTCCCTTTTCTTAATTGCTGCCATCTTCCCTCAGCCCCACCTTCCAAAAACCGCCTTGTCTCCTGGCTTCACAGCAACACTCCCTCTGGCCTTTTATCACAGGGGTCCCCAGCCTTTGGGACACGAACCTGTACCAGTCAGTGGCCTCTTACAAACCAGGCCACACAACAAAAGGTGAGCAGCGGGTGAGAGAAATTTCACCCGTGTTTATAGCCGCTCCCCACTGCTTGTATTACTGCCTGAGCGCTGCCTGTCAGATCAGCAGTGGCATGAGATTCTCACAGGAGCATGATCCCCAGGTGAACAGCACATGAGAGGGATCTAGGTTGTGCTCCTTACAAGAATCTAATGCCTGATGATCTGTCAGTCTCCCATCACCACAAGATGGGACTGTCTAATTGCAGGAAAACAAGCTCAAGGTTCCTACTGAATCTACATTATATGTTGACTTGTATAATCACTTCATTATGTATTACAATGTAATAGTAATAAAGTACACAATAAATGTAATGTGCTTGAATCATTCTGATACCAGCCCCCAAAATCCAAGGAAAAACTGTCTTCCATTAAAACAATTCCTGGCCTCAAGCAGTTTTCTAGCTTCGGCCTATCAAAGTGCTGGGATTATAGGCGTGAGCCACCACATTCAGATTCTACCTGTAACATTTAGCCCAGTGCCTGAAATGTAGCAGAGGATCAACGAATGATGAATGAATAAACAATAACGTCCTTAAAAAAAAGCATAAACTATTTCACTTTTGATACATTTGAAATTGTAATTTTATTTTACCACAACAGACAAGATTCTAAAACTTCCACAAAATCCCTATGGAATCATATTCAAGACTAGGCCACTTTATTTCCCAAGATGTATTAGAAATATTAGAAAAATGCCACAGAAATCTGAGTTAAGAAACTATAACAGCTCATTTGCCACACTACCAAGAATAAGGCGGTTCATGAGATTCTGCTGCTTTAACATAAAGTAAGAATGCACCAACAGAAACAACCTCCAGATTGGAAAAAACAAAGTTTCCTATGTGGTTTGGAATGCATCGCTTTAATCTTATTCACTCTAATTTCATTCATTCTAATGTTATTTACAAAAATAACTCCATTAGGACAGAGTTTGACTATTTTATTTAAAGTAGTATCCCAGCAGCTGTAAGAAGATCTAGCATACAGTAGTTCAATAAATATTTCTTTACTAAGTGAATGCATGTAAGTATTTAGCTTCAAATTAAGACAGGTGAAAGAATTTTTCTAGCAAAAGCAAAATAATCTAAACATTTATCTAATTACCTTTTTGCAAATCTGTTTCATTGTGACTTCTTCCAAGTTAGCACTGGCCAGTAATTTCTTTATTGTTTCCTTTAACTCTTCGTCTGTAGGGGGTTTCTTCAACTTTTTAATTAAAGGTTCATCATCTGAACTATCCTCAGATTCACTTTCTAAAAGTAATACATTTTATTAAATATGAATAATTTTTCTTACATAGCAAATTAATATTTAACAAAGGTTGAGATGAATTTTAAGCTTTCAACAGATTCTCAAAGGGGTACTGGATCCAAAAAACTATAAATCACTACTCTGTAAGTTACCTATAAAACATGCACACAAATTTTATGTCGACTTGAAAAATCAAAAACTAAAAAGCTGGTATACAGGTTGGGCATCCCTAATCCAAAAATCAAAAATGTGAAATGTTCCCAAATCCAGCATTTCAGAGCACTAACATGACACCAACTATAGACACTCACATTATTGTGAGATAATTCCACACCCGACCTCATGTGACGGGTCGCAGTCAAAACTTGGTTTCAGGCCAAGGGCAGTGATCCATGCCTGTAATCCCAGCGCTCTGGGAGGCCAAGGTAGGAGACTCGCTTGAGTCCAGCAGTTCAAGGCTGCAATAAGCTGTAATGGTACCACTGCAATAAATACTTTATTTAATTGAAGTATTGAACCAGGCTATGTAAGAAGAATATGAAACATAAATAAATTTCATATTTAAACAGGGTCCCATCTGCAAGACACATACATACATACATACATATATATATATATATATATATATATATATTTTTTTTTTTTTTTTTTTTTTTTTTGTGCAAGATCTGAATTACTTCCTGTCCCAAGCATTTCAGATAAGGGATTTTCCACCTGTATTACTTCTTGCAACCATGTTCTTTTCAGTTTACTTATTTCACCCACACTCTTACGGACTACGTACAACATGTTAATATATGCTGTTATCTTTAAAGTTGCTGATTAATGTTATTTCTAACATACCTTTTTTGGAACTGTTCTGATTCTTCTTGGTGGTGCTGCTATCTGCTTTCTTAACATTAGCACTTTTCACAGATTTTTTACTTTTAGGAGTAGCTTTCTGTTTAGGTTTTTCTCTTTTAGCTGTCTTTTTTGGTGGCTGTTAGAAAAGCAACAGTACACATACTGATGAGAGTCAATGCTATCCCTCTACTTCCCCTACACCCCTTAACAATATTAGAGAAAATAAGTATATTTGATATCACCAATTAAAAATTATTTTTGAGAGATGACCAATATACAACAAATTATTTTATCCCAGCACAATTCTAACTAAGCATGACAAATCACAATCACACACAAAATAGAGATGCCCACATTTATTCTGTACTACGGATAAAAAAATATATGTACATTACTCAATCTTAGGGGGGAACCCCTAAATATAGATACTATTATCTTCTCTTACTTATGTTCCCTCTCTCTCACTAGACTTTTAAAAATTTTTTTATTTTTTAAGACTGAGTCTCTCTATGCTGCCCTGGCTGGAGTACAGTGGCATGATCCTGGTTCACAGCAACCTTCGTGCCTCCCCAGTTCAAGGGATTCTCTTGTCTGTAATTTCTAGTAGCTGGGATTGGTGAAACCCCATCGCTAGTAAAAATACAAAAATCAGCTGGTGTGGGTTGGCTGATTTTTGTATTTTTAGTAGCGATGGAGTTTTGCCATGTTGGCCAGGCTGGTCTTGAACTCCTGACCTCAGGTGACCCATTTGCTTTGGTGTCCCAAAGTGCTGAGATTACAGGTGTGAGCCAACACACCTGGCTTAGAATCCTCTTGTGTTTGCTGATGTTTCCCTAACTCCTAAAATAGTCTCTGGTACCTAGTAGTTGCTCAGTAAATACTCATGATTGTATGAGGAAACAGTCTCAGTGAGGTTATCTTGTCCACAGTCAAATTAATAAAGAGGCAAGATTCAAAGACAGGTGTGACTCTAGAACTTTTGTTTTTAAACACTAAGCCATAGCTAATTAGACAAAAACAAAATACATAAATACAGATAGATTAAAATGACAGGCCAGGAGTGGTGGCTTACATCTATAATCCCAGCACTTTGGGAGGCCGAGGTGGGCAGATCACGAGGGAAGTGACTGGGACCATCCTGGCCAACATGGTGAAACCCCTTCTCTACTAAAAATACAAAAATTAGCTGGGCATGGTGGCATGCACCTGTAGTCCCAGCTACTCAGGAGGCCAATGCAGGAGAACTGCTTGAACCCAGGAGCCAGAGGTTTCAGTGAGCCAAGATTGAGCCACTGCACTCTACTCTGGCGACCGAGCAAGACTCCATCTCAAAAAAAACCCAAAAAAACAAAAAAAATCAGAGTTCATAGTTACTTTGTCTCATGTGGAGCCTATGAAATTAGAAGTGTTAATTCTTAATATTCCCAAAGGAAAGCATCCTATTAAATTCTCCCCTTTACACACCAAAACTACTGCAAATCACTTGACAGAATGTTTCTCCAGATGTTTCACACTCTTGATTCCTGAGTGTTAACATCGTAAGTCAACCTGTTTTTAAGGACATAAGCAGTGTGTTGAACCCATCCTTTAAAGTATACAGATCTGTTCCAAAAGTTAAGTGGCCTCAAGCTATTGATTGGATTTTAGTGTCTTTTTTTTTTATTTTTTTTTTTGCTCCTGTTACCCAGGCTGGAGTGCAATCGTGTGATCTTGGCTCACCTCAATCTCCGCCTCCTGGGTTCAGGCAATTCTCCTGCTTCAGCCTCCTGAGTAGCTGGGATTACAGGCACGCGCCACCATGCCCAGCTAATTTTTTGTATTTTTAGTAGAAATGGGGTTTCACCATGTTGACCAGGATGGTCTCGAAATCTTCACCTCATGATCCACCCACCTCGGCCTCCCAAAGTGCTGCTGGGGTTACAGGCTTGAGCCACTGCACCTGGCTTTTTTTTTTTTTTTTTTTAAAAGAAGTAGTTTTGCTATGTGGCCCAAGCTAGACTCAATTCTCCCACCTCCGCCTCCTGAGTAGTTAGGACTACAGGCACACACCACCTCACCCAAGTGGATTTTAGTGTTTGTCCTTCGTTTTGCTAAAATACCATCGCTATAGCTATTTAAATAAGCCTATCATCACTTATTTAAATAGCTTGCACTACCTCAATAATATACCACTGGCTGGGAAGTATGTAGTTTAAGTGCTACTAAAAAATACATTTATAAGGTGTCAAGGGGCTCACACAATTCTAAAAATAAGCACATGAACTGTCCCATGGACTTTTGCTACTTAGAGGCCATTTTAACTTACTTCCTAATTCTAAGAGATGTTCTAGATGGTGGGGGTTGTGGGGCAAGTATCAATGATTTCTCAGTTTTTTTATGACAAATGTTTTACGGTTTATTAAGTGTACACCTAGTTCACATGAACTATATATTAGGCTCTGAAAACGAATCCTAAAAATTCTTAATTCTTTAGTGCACTTAATACACAGAATAAAATAATCACGATTATGTATCATTTTTTAGTTAAAGGGTAATAAAATCTGGACTTGTGGGTACAAGAAACTAAGTTATTACTGAAAGGGTTGAAGAGGCTGAGCAAAATAAACAATATTATCAGTAATTACTCAATCTCCATTCAAATTAAAAAATTAGAATTAATGAAAGTACTTCCAAGGCCTTTTAAGGCCTGCTATTAAAATTTTAGATGGAATACACAACCTGACATCATTTTAAAATCTGCAAATTGCGAGTAGTGACAATTTGACAAAGCATAAACATTTACAGTAAAAAATAAATAACAAGCCATTTCCATAACATTTTTCTTCTGATAACAAACAAAACCACATCTTTCTGCATTTCACATATGCTGTAATTGGTAATGTTCTACAGTTTTTCTAAATGGACATCTAGCCTGTCATCTATTAAAATTTCTAAAAGACTGCAAACATACTGCACAAGCACTCAAAAAAAAAATATAATAGTTCAAAGAGTGCAGGCTCTAAAGGCAAGCCACCTCATTTCAAATTCCAGCCCCAGCAGATCTCTGCGCTCTTGCCTCCACATTTACAAAATAAGAGAAACAACAGTTCCTATGGTTTTATGGGGAGTAAGTAGATGCATTAACACATGCAAGAATTTTTGGTAGTACCTGGCAGACAGTATAACACACTAAACAGTAACTATTATTACTGAGTGCTTCCTTCTGTAGAATGAGAAATTACTTCATTATACAAATATAATTTCATCTAACAACTTAAAGTTTCTAAGTGTTTTCAAAAAGACCGGTGCGGTGTCTCAATCCTGTAATCCCAACACTTTAGGAGGCTGAGATGGGAGGATCACTTGAGGCCACAGATTTGAGAAAAGCCTGGGTAAAATCACAAGACCCTTTTCCTAAAAAACTAATTTTCTTTCTTTAAAAAAAACAAACAAACCAGGATACACAGAATGGAAATTATAAACACAGTGAGACAGACTCAATAACAACTTTTTTAACTAGCCATGATATATCACACTTATTTCACATAATGGTAGATATGACTTGGCCCACAAACATCTATAGTAATACGTTATGTCATTTATACAGGATTTCATTTATCTTTAGTGACCAGGTAAATTCTTCTGTGACAAAGTTAAGGTAGGACTTTGGTAAAGTCTCTTTTTTAGATTAGTGCTGGGTTAAGAAATCGTGAAAGCCAAACAGTACAACTACTAATGAACTTGGTGTCTGGTGCTTTAGTCCTGCAGGTGTTCATTACTTTGGCTGCCCTGAAGTTAAGTTATTAGGTATAGGAGGAATAGGTAACTCTGGAAAATGGGGGCATCTCCAAAGACATACCTTGGTATTTGGACACAATGGACAATTTTTGGCTGTTAAGGCAAATATGGGTAACTAGTATTTGGAAGTTAACAAAAACACAGAGCTGAGAAGGTAAGCTAAACCACATCCACTTTAATTTTCCATGAACTTTCCAATCTTCCTATTTTCATTCTTCCCTGTACTTAGGAAAATCCCACTCATGATTCTAAACCCAGCTTAGCAATTACCTCCTGTATATCTTTCACAATACCATCAATTTGATTAATCCATACTCTCAAAGTATGTGGCCTACAATTCATTATCCCGTATTGAGAAGCTGCGAGAACAAGAGTGTTACAGCCAAACTTCCTGATTCAAATCCTGACTCTACCATTAATTTTGTATTCTCAGGGAAATCTCTTACCCTTCTCTGTGCCTGTTTCTCATCTGAAAAGTAAAATTTTGCTGACTTTTACCACTTTTATCATTTTCTTATCTCTGACATCAAGGTACATCTTATAATGCTGTATATAAAAATGATGCCTCAGAGGCATCACAGGTTCTATAAACTGGCCATATCCATAGTTTTTGTGAGGACAAAATGAATACATACATATAAGGCAGCAAAGAGAACAGACATCTACTATATGCACATTTAGTATACAACAGTTACTTACATGTCAGTTTTCCCACTACAATGCAAGGTTAAGGGTACACAATTTCCATGAGAATAGACACTGATTACCTTATTCATCCCCAGCAAATAGAAGAATGTTTGGCTTACAGTAACCATGTAAATATTTCTTGTTATGTTCATCTCTGTATCATTTGTAGAACCTGATTTAGCTGTACTATGCGCCCAGGAGGCAGTAAAAAAGATATATAACTAAAAGGAGAAAAATGTATCCAAGTAGCTAGTGATCCAAAACCTTATAGCTAATAAGAAGCAAAACCTGTGATTAGGTCCCGTGTGCCTCCTACTACGTACCTATGTATTTGTTTTCTTTCATTTTTGAGACGGTCTGGCTCTGTCACTCACGATGGACTGCAGTGGTGTAATCATAGCTAGCTAACCTCAAACTCCTGTACTCAAGTGATCTTCCTGCCTTAGCCTCCCAAGTAGCTAGGACTAAAGGCATGCACTATCATGTCAGGCTAATTTTTAAATTTTGTTTTGTAGAGACAGGGTCCTGCTAAGTTGCCCAGGCTGATCCTGAATTCCTGGCCTTAAGTGATCCTCCTGCCTTGGTCTCCCAAAGTGCTGGGATTACAGGCGTTAAGTCACTGTGCCTGGCCTCCTATGTTATTTCTTAAGTCTGTCTGAAATTATACAACTA